AAAGATAATTAACATGATGTTTGGGGGGGGGGTAGAGTTGAAGTGGATGAATTGCATAATTGTTTGGAGATTATTAAATAAGTGAATCGGATTCTACTGAAGAAACTGTGGCTTACACAGCGAAACGTTTAGTAAAATCTTGTTTTGATTTTTTCTTTAACATGCTGGTATTATTTTAAATAATTTATAATTATTCAATCTGACTCGGCGCTCAAATTATTCCAGAAAATTCGTAACATCTACGGTCTGGAAACTTATAGGTCAAGTTTTGTCAAAAAATTTAAAGTGCGATGTTGATAACAATAAAGAAAGTGAAAATAAAATGAAATGGAGTGAATTCAAGTGGTAAAATAGAATAAAATTAAAAAAACATTACTGTGACCAAGGTAAAGAAAGCGATTTAACAAAACGTTTTTAAATACATAGTTTAGGTTTTTGTCCATGAATCGTTAAAGCTTTAGCTATACATAAGTGGAGAAAACGTAAACTTTTAGAGTGACTGAATTTCGCCGTGTGGATAACTTTAAAGAAGTCACATGGGACTGAATGACCTGACTCTACAATGGAAGACTTCATCATCATATGTTCGTCTTTCATCAACCAAACTGGGTAGTGTTCAGCCACACGTTTCTGGAGAACACGCCTGCAACGTCCAATGTAATCAGTTCCACGGGGACATATGAAAGATTAAATGCATACACATACACGGTAGTTTGTCCTTGACGCATTGTCGAATCATACTTCGCCTAGAGAATACTAAGTGTGTAAGTTATCGTACTTATAATGCGGAGGTCGAGCCTCTCTCGGAGCACCAGTGCGTTGGTGGAATAGCGGTTAGAACGCTCGCCGACCATGCACATGGTCCGGGGTTCGATCCTCGATCGACGCACTCCTTTACCTCGCTGAGCCGGAAATAATACTGGTAAAGAGGAAAGGTTGGGCATGAGGCTAGCAACCTCATCCTGTAAAATAAACACTGCTACAGAAGATTCAAGCCACTAGCTTGAAGCCCTATGTTCCACTGGGGAACGTGAAGGAAAAAAGTTATCGGCATAGAACTGATCATAAAGAATCTGCTTTATTAGTAATAGTGTTAGGAAGATGGTAGTCAATATCGAAAGAAAACATGGTTGGCGGCAAAATTCGAGTCAGTGGCTCACCAGATTTAATCTCTCTGTACCAGCTAAAGTACGAAACTCAATAGTGAACTTCATTAAGATGGATGTCTCTTTCAAGAGATATATGATCTCATTTTTCATTTCATGTAATTTTATCACGGCATTATTATTATTAATATGAAAGCGACTATCCCAGGCAGAAACGCTTTCATCATCATGATAATAATAATAATAAACTGTTAAAATAATGAAAACTGATAATTACTATAAAAAAATCTAATTAAAAATAAATAAAAGGATTATAAAAGTGCATGAACTGAAGGTAAAATGAAGTAAAAAAAACATAAATGTCAATAATGAATACTATCTGAACCAGCTGTTTCAGATAGAAAAAAGTGACCTAATTCATATATTCACTGAAAATAAGATTATTAATAGGTTATAGAATGAAGGTCACCTACCACTGATAAGTTATTATCACGCATGTTATTTTATGGGATGAACAAATACAACAGTTTTATGAATAGAAGAAGAAGAAGAAACAGAAAACTCGTCTTAGATTCAGTATTTCTTAGACTGATGTCCACTACATAACTAGTAAGCATATCAGCTGTATTGAGTGCAAAGTATGCGTATTAAAAGTTCATTGGTGAAAGACTCTGCGTATATTTATATTATTATAATTAGTAGTAGTAGTAGTAATCCCTTGGAATCCGAGTGGAAAATTGAAGTTCAACAACACATCTCCATTTCACTCTGTTCTCTGCTCCACAATTGTCCATAACTATTCATTTCCTCTTCACATGACCTCCTCCACTATCATCCTCGGACACCCAAGTCGTCGTTTTCCACTCTGGGGCCTCTCAGTATGTATCCGATCTACCTCCGTATTTGTTAGACAACAGGTCCTTGGTTGGTTCTCTTACACAGATCTCTTTGTTGCATGGTTTAGACTAATTTGGTGCATAATATTATAACTGTCTTCCGAGTTATGTCAGTAAATAGATGCAACTGACCTTGTTAAAGTTGAAATGTGCAGTGTTGTTTTACACTTTCTTCTGTGTCATTCTTTCAATTTTTTTTGTTTTCTTCAAGACATTTTTCATTATCTATATTAAACACTATATTGAATTAGTTGTGTCCTCTGAGCTGGTTGATTGAATTGCGAAGCTTTCGTCGTCCTTCAAGACAACATCCCCCTTCAGCGCAGGTTTTAGTATAAAATGGACTTATTTAAATTCTCCATGAATGATGTAATTGTATCTCCTGGCAACCACTGTCGTGACTGGCTGCTGTTTATTTTATACTAAAACCTGCGCTGAAGGGGGATGTTGTCTAGAAGGAGGACGGAAGCTTCGTAATTAAATCAATCAGCTCAGAGAACACAACTAAATCAATATCATCCACCTAAGCTACAAATCGTCTCCATTATATAAACACTGTCGTAAGTTTTGTTTCATAACGGAATTGATTCGACATAATCCAAACAGAGAACAAATTTTTTTTCTTTTATCTTTTCTATTTGGTCTGTAATTGTACGTTTGGCCTATTTTATCCTTAGTCTTTAAATCTCCTGTATGTTACACTTCTCATTTTGCTTAGTTTTCAGTTGTATTTTGCGTTTATTTCACAATCATGGCGCTTTTTATATTTTCTACTCGTTGTGAAAGTTGAACTCTTACTGATTACTAACTTAACTCTTTAGATTTATCAATTAATTTAGTACTGCCGATGATTCCCAAACTAGGATGAAACAGCTGTCCAGAACTCCCTAGACTGGATATCAATTCGTGGTCAAACTCGAAAAAACAAACCTAATCCTTACAAATCAACTATTGAAAAAAGGACGGGGTTTCCTGGAGTTTTAGTGAGAAGTCGTGACCATTGAGGTCCATCCAGTCGGGAGTCAGGATGGATTTCCCGCCAATGACATTGGTTAGTGGTCGCGCTAAATCACGAATTGGTAGAAGTTAGAATTCATGAGCCATTAAATCGGGTCCCAGTGGCTGAATGGTATACGAGCTTTCCTTGTAACCGGGAGGTCCTGGATTCGAAACCCCCTATGGTGGGTGCGTACTGCCGATGAGTCCCAAACTAGGACGGAGGAAACAGCTGTTCAGTACTTGATTGGTTTTCAATGGTTCTCTAACTGATATCAATCCGTGGTGAAAATCGAAAAACAAATCAACCCTTGAAAATTAATTTAGTGGTTATCAAGGTCATTTAAAAATTATACATTCATCATCCCTTTCTATGTGTTTTAACTGTTGTTTGAGACAGTAAAAGCTCTCGTGTCTTGTCTCTTGCTTTCTCATGCACGTAGTAATGTCGTTATTGTGGATGACCTATTGATTAGCGATTAGAGTGGTTTTCTTTAGCACATTAGCTTCACTATTGCTCTCAGTCTACCAGGTTGTACTATCGATCATATCACAAATCGATTATTAACTTCTCATATCTACACACTTAATATTTTGTTTGTTATTTATTGGCTTGATCATGGTCATTTCTGATTCGGTTTCATCAAACTCTTTCAAATTAAATCCTGAAGGTGGTTCCATCGAATCGACGTTGGTTTTCAAGTTGCATCGATATTGTGTTGTTGTTTTTTTTTATCTCTTCTCATCTGATCTTTCAGTATCTTTCACCTTTAAACTTGCACTTGAATAGATTCGATCATAACTGACTTAAATTGTTTTCATCTGCTTTTCATTAGGAATAGTGTGAATTCCATTATTCTTTTCTAAAGCGTGCATATTTCCTCATGAGAATAGTGTTGTTGTTTTTTTTTTTATTGTTCGTCATTTGGAAAATCTCCTGTGTTTCCAAAGACTTTTGTTTTCTTCTATTTTATTTGAACACTAGTTGAAGTTGCTCAGTAATCACGTGTGTCTGAATAGTAGTAATGAATTCAATTAGTAAATATTTCCCATAGGCTTCACATCTCATTAAGCGTATATGATGCAGTTGTTGATTGTATGAGATGATTTCATCATTTATTGCTTGTTTTTCTTTCTAAATATTTTCGTAAAAGTGTCTTTAGGTAGTAAGGTTTACTACTGCAAGTGGTAGAAATTTTATAAAGCAAGCTAGTTAACTAGGCGAGATTACATTAGCTGGAGGTCGCACTGAAAATCACGAATCGGTAGAAGTTAGAATTTATGGGCTGGCCATTGAGTAGGCTCCCAGTGGCTGAGAATGGTATACGAGCTTGTCTTGTAACTGGAAGGTCCTGGGTTCGAAACCCAATGGGTGAGTACTGCCGATGAGTTATTTACCTGAATGTTATTCTCATTATTAATGAATATCCCTTATCCTATGGAAAGTTTTGAATAGTGACTATCAAGGTTATCCAAGCTACTGCCTACAATAAGCTCACATTTGGTTCGGATAGCTAGGGGTGTGGCAACTCGAACTGCTGCACATCTGTGCAAAGTTCTACGTTAAAACCAGTCAGTCAGTCAGTCGGATAGCTAAGAAATAGCGATATTGTTGCCTAATTGGTTTTACTTTTGGTGAGAGGACAGACATCCTTTTGTATTAGCAGTGTTAGCCTCCTAGGGTATCCTACGTATTTGCTAGGATAGCCTCCAAAGTCACTTGACAAATACCTTACAGTGTGACACTTTAGCAACTGCATGCATATTCATGTAAAGTTTTTTACGGTCTGGCAGCCTTGAGCCTCAGTACTCGTTACAAACCTGTTGAGACTTGTGAGCCCAGGGTAGAATAGTCAATTCTTTAGTTATCTCATTTCCTATACGTACCAAATAGCTGCGTAGTAAACATTTAAAGGTGTGTCACAGTTTATTCTTTGATATGCTGATAATACCAGACTAATTTTTATTTATTTATTCACTTCTGTATTTAAATATTTTTTAGTTATGGTTTAATGGATGCCGCAGCTATGGTTGACTTGGCTTTGAACTGGACTAATGTACCACCACAACGTGTATGCGAAGCTCAAGCACCAATGACTGGCAGTCCAATTACAATACGACAAATGTCAAAGGAAAACTTAGCCTTAACTACTGATGGTTGTGAATCAGCTGCAGCACTTGCTGGTGATCTATCACATCGAGTTGTTCATCTAGAACATGTACAGGCTAAAGTAAGTTTGTCAATTCTTTTTCTGTTTGTTTTGTTTTTGCCTTCATTTTCTTGTTTGCTTTCCTCTGATAATTATTATTAATTAAGTTAAATAAAAACCGTTGATAGAATATCAAGTCACTCGTTTTAAAACTGAAGAGTCAATATTTACTTTAATTAAGTCAACATCAGCATTAATGAAAAGCTTTTTATGTGAAGCTGTATTGAATATTCGTCATTTTAGCTATTCAATGTAAATTCCTGTCTTGTGATTCTGCTTATACATATAATTCCCTTAGGTTCCGTTATTCAATAGTGCATCTCCATTTCATCCTATCCTCTGTACTCCTCTTTGGCTGGCTCGACGATTGCCCATAAACCCTCATCTCTTATTCATACAATCCCCTCCATGTCACCCTAGGACTCCAACTTGCCCAGCTCTTCGTTTCCCAGTGGGGTCGTGATGTCGCTCAACAGTCTCCTCAGAGTGTGTCTGATGCATCTCGATGTCTTTCTGCATGTATGTTTGGTCTGTCTGTTTTCGACATAGAACTTTGCACATATGTGCGGCAGTTCAAGTCGCCACACTCCATGTAGCACACAAAGCAAGAGAAGAAAGTAGGAGAAATGCATAATATAGACAGTAAACAGAGGTGTGAGACAAAGGAATAGTAATAACAAAGAACAATATAGTTTCATTGGAAATCATAAATCACAAGGAGTGGATGCATCTGCGCCATTGAGAACGATTTTGAGCCATGTCACCAATTGTTTCCAACCATTGGTTTTTACCGTCCCGAGGACCCCAACCAGTCAGGAAGTCTACACCTTCCTACGTGGCTTAGACTAACTGTTGTAGATTTCATTGACTGGTGCCATGTTTTGGTTTGACCGCCGCTAGCTCTTTTCCAGCCTGACCCTATATCAGCCAACATTGCCCATTGTCGAGGAAGGCGATGACTAGGCATACGTAACACATGTCCTAACCATCTCAGTCGATGTAATTTCACAGTCTCGTCGACTGATTTCCCCTCCTTACCTAGCACTCGACGCCTAACCTCAATATTGCTCACCTTATTATACCACTTCACACGGGAGATAGAGCGCAGGCACCTATGATCAAAGACAGCTAATCTTTTCATGTCTTCCACTCTCAATGGCCAGGTCTCACAGCCATAAAGGAGGACGGAGCGGACTGCTGAGCAGTACACCCGCTGTTTGGTCGATAGCCGGATATCACGTCTACGCCAGAGACGGCGTAAACTGGCATATGCGAAACTAGCCCTCTGTATCCGTGCTGAGATTTCGTCAGAGATCAACCCGTTGGGGCTGATGGTACTTCCCAAGTAAGTGAAGTGGTCAACGTGCTCTACCACTTCACTCCCTATTTCTAATCTAGGAGTCAGTGTAGTCCAGTCCTGTAACATCATCTTACATTTGGTGGGAGCGAATCGCATGCCAAACATTCGTAGATTGCAGCTCAAAGTGTTCAGAAGACTCTGCATTTTGTCAGCGTCCTCGCTTAGAAGGACTAATGTTTGGTAATAGGTTGTTGGTGGGTCTTTTCCTATAGTTCCTTCTTTCTGATCCTCTCTGGTCGGTTTCCTGATCTGTAGTATGAAGCCAGCGAAGACAGCTGTTGATAAAAGTCTGAAGCAAACTGTTGGAAGTGCTTTTAGTGACGTCAAATTTCTCCTGTTAATAGTGATTGATGCTTGTTGTTGTTGTTAGTTGGTTGGTTGGTTATCTTCATCACCTCCGTCTCCTCTGTGTTCCCTTGAAGTCCTATCTTTGCTGTCTGCTTCTTCTGCCAGTTTATTGGTTTTCTTATGGATCTCTTCGAATCTGTGTGAAATTAACCATAAATCATCTACATAGTTCGAACTTTCTAGAGTCTTCGTGTCTACCCAATGTATGGTTTTGCTTAGTTTTAGTTAATCAAGATCTCTTGCATTAATTATAACAGCCTAACTAATACTCATATGAATATCATAACTATATTTGAAATTGAATTATTGAATGTATGCTGAAAAAAAATAGGAGCATTTTAGTTAGACCATGGATATTTTAGCTTAACACACCAGTTACTGTTCAATACAGACTGAATATATTTTGAGAATAGTTTATTGAATTCTTTAAATGAATTTTAGTAATTCTACAAATGGTCTAGATTTTAATTTATTCTCCACAATAAACAGCTGAATGGATGAATTAATTCACTGAAAGTGAATTAAAAATGTCTCTATAGAATTTTTTGCTAATCAATAATGATGAGTTTCTACTTTAAGACTCTTCTCTACAAGTGCTTCTTCACTCCACTACAATTTTGTTTTTCAATGGTTGGTAGGTGGGGAAGGGGAGTTGAGCGGCGAAGAGTTAAGTTGGCTAGGCTGTGTCTTTTAGGCACTTTAGCTAGTCTGCATTCAGAAAAATTGTTACATAAAGTTCTCACGCTTGCGTTGCCCACTACAGTAGTTTTATAAGAATGTAAGGTTGCGACACACATAACTGTCGACAAAATATAATCGTCACCAGAACATGGATAGTTTAATTTAATGTAATTCCACTTTAAATTTGTTCCTCTGGTGTTGTGATCATTACTTCCTTTATTTCCTCGATTAAAGAATCTGGTTTACGGATGGACTACAGCGATATGACCTGTCTGACACCTTTTGCATGGGGTGCATTAGTTTTACTGTCGAGTAACTTTGATTCTTACATTTAAATTTGCGAAGAAAGTGGTGGCTACATTTTCAGTTGATTGATTTCAAAGAGCACTGAGTGGCATAGATACTTGTTAGGAAGGAGTTCACCTACCTTCCTATCCTTCTGTCCTTAGACTGACAGTGTGAAACCCCAGAAATTTTAAAATCAAGAGAGATTATTGAATTTTCGAAATGATATGTTTAGTAATGATGTTTTATGCGCACTGCTTCTGCTCATATACTTATGGTCACACTTGAACTTAATAAATAAAAACATAAGCTTAATGTATATATACATATCCAACAGTTAACAAGTTATACCCGTTGCACAAAAGGTAGCTCTTATGGCGCAACAACCTAGTAGATAATGCTTTAACATTTGAAACGATAGGTCCTGTATTCAAGTCTCAGTAGAAACATCGTCACACTCACTAGGGGTGCGTGTACATCCAGCTGTTGAGTCCCAAGTAAGCTGAAACACATCTGTATTAATTAGCTACCAGCAAACTACAGTTAGGTTTTCATCGTTTTAATGATGGCCAGATCAAGATGTACCATGAATGCAAAGTCTTTGATTGCTGGCTGGTTGATCTAAAGGGTTCTATGATATTTGGTTTCGATCGTCATTGTGTATGAAATTCTGAATGGTTTTCGTTCTTGTCTTTATTATAACTGTGTTTCATTTTTCCTCCTCCTCCTTCTACACAGTTGATGTGTTAGCTTAGAGTTATGCTGCTACTTTCTGCGATTTTCAATTTTTGTGTTTATCTCTCCAACTGTGTGTTCATTTTCTTTTTGAGGCTGGATTTTTATGCATTCATGAAATTAATGAATCTTAACTGTTTAGTATTCAAGAGTTAGTCTATAGGGATTTGACTTTAAACTTTAAAGTTTCATCACGGATCTATATCATTTAGGGACTACTAAACAGCCGTTTTGTCTTAGTTTGGGACCCTTCAGCACTATGCATTCACGATCCCGTTAGGAATCGAACCCAGGACCTTCTCAGGTTACGAGGTCGAGCTTGTTGACCATTCAACCACCGAGGCAGAATCGACTACTGCTGCATGAATTCTAACTTCACCAGCCAATGTCGTCAGTGACTTGGTGAACCCTGCTGACCACGGCTCATCATTAGAACTCTGGGGAACTTTGTCTTGTACTTAGTCACTAATGAGTATTAGGTCAGAGGAAGATTCCATTGATTTCTGCAGGTCAGGGCTACAGAACACATTCCTTGTGTTATAAATACACTTGTGCATCGTTTTTTTCTAGCTAAAAATAGATGGACAATCAAATCTTTCGTTGTTTCAGATAAGAGCCATTCATTTAACTTTTAACTAGTTTGACTTCATTCGAATTACAAGTAGAATCATAATGAAGAAAAATGTTGTTTTTTCTCCAAAAGAGAAAGAATAAATAATACCCATGTGATATAAGTTGAAAAGACATAAGTCAGCAAACGGTATTCTCCTCGTAGCCCCTCTTCAAGAGTTGTACAGTTAAATAGTGTGTTCTAAGGAAATCTGTCAACAGATATCCCTGAAACAACGACAGTCATTTTTAGCCGTGTGAACATAATTTCATGGTTTTCATATTTTAACTGATTAAAAATGCCCATTAAAGTTTTTTTTAAAAGAATAGACACGGAACAAAGAGAACTCTTTTCGATAAATACATCATCAGGTTCTACAATTATATATACATTATAATGAATGAATGAATTATTCTTATGAACGACATTAATGTTTGAATAACATCAAATCAATAATATTGATAAATTACAGCTGAACAGCATCAACATAAAATAAACTGAATGTCAGAAGAATTGGGAAAGGTAATAGTACAAATTCATGAGTTTATAGTTTCTACTGAGGGCCAGGGCAGTAGTAGGGGCTGGACTTGTTTCTTTTGGACACAGAGCACTGGTTGTTTGAGGCGAATTGCAATAGCCTCTGCTGTTTGGAGCATGCGGTGCTTCGATGATTTTGGCAATTTATTAGGCACCCGGTATATTATGGAGAAGGATTCGTCTACGCTGGCCTTGTGACCGGTTTGCACCAGGTGGTCTAATATCGAGCTGTTAATAGTTTTAACTACACCTTTACTTAGCCATAGTGGGATATGTTCTCGAGCACGAAAAATCACTCCACAAGCGCAGTTGAATTGATAGATACAATTTGAAGTGGCTAGTCTAGTTACTTCATCTTTCAGTCGAGGTAGCACTATCGGTCGTGTAGAGAATAATACTTGTCTATTCTTTTGCAATTAAAAGCGTTCTCTGAGCTGGTTGGTTTAGTCGCGAAGCTTTCGTCGT